TATATATAAAGTCTATATCCTTCAAATCTGCGCTTATGTCATACTTCTGCATTGTATTTTGCAATTCACTTTTTTTTCCCTCAGAATTGTGAGAAACTCAGCATTGCAAGAAAAAAAGAGTTGTGAAATTTCACAGTTACCTTTATTATTATTATTATTATTATTATTATTATATAAACGCTTCCATAGTTTGCAGCCAACATTAACGTAACAGAAAGGATTGTTTTGTTGTTTGTTTGTTTTTGCTGTTATTTAGATGGAATAGCTATCTGATTAAAAAAGCTAAATATCAAGAAACACTGAAGACGCAACCAAAGCAACTGCACTTCTTTTACGCGCAAACTGTGTTTGGGCTTCATCACCCCCACTGTAAAACTCCACTGTTATGTTTCATGCAATAATTAATTCATACGGGTTTGTAATGACATGAGGGTGAATAATGAAATACTGAATGTTCAGTTTTAGGTGAACTGCCCCTTTAAAATACTGTATTTTGGTGCACAGCTATTATCTCTTTTCCTCTTCACCTCTCACCTCTCATTGTCTCACCGGCTGTCCGCTGCAGTCGTCAGGCTCCATTAGTTTGAGCACGTCTCATTAGAAACGCATTAGACAGGTGAGCATGACGGCAGGTGAGGAGTTAATGACAGGCACGGGGAATTGGTTAAGCTCACTAGTTTACATGCAATACATCCTAATACAACTTGAGGCTCTTTTATGGAACACATTCATATTTCTGCACCAAAACTGACGCTTTTTCCAAACATTAAGCTCTTCGTTTTTTGACAGACCGCACTTTGATGCACGCAGATGTCGCTCTGTCTGTCTGTGTGTCTCTCTCTTGTAATTGCAGATCAGACCATCAGAGAGACCATTAGAGCAGCACAAGTGCTCGACGGAGGCCGTTTATGAATCAAATCTCCGCCCACCTGCCCAGCGCAGCGAGCGGCGGCTCTTGACACGAGTGAGGCCTCTTAAACAGCCAGCGTTCAGCACAGAGTCAGTCAGACGGAGTATACTACACTCAGAAATCAGCACATCCAATCATATGCCATCAAAATGACAAATCCAGTTACGCACACTCTCCCAAAGTCTGTCCAATCAGAGCCCGAAAATAGTCAAATTAGAATTATGAAGCTGCATTAAAACTGTGCAAGTACTTAAGTGGGTCAAAAACACTCTAAATTGCATTTAATATAACTTCAAACTATAATACATTTTCATTTAATTGCAAATAACATGCATTTAAGTGTCTGAAAACATAAGCACTTTTTTAAAGCATGGACTAAAAGTGATTTAAGTGACTAAGACTTGTCCTAAAATGAGCCTATCCATTCTGTGAGTGATTTTAAGTGTTGTTTGCTGTGAAATGTGACATGTTGGGCCACTTAAAATGCAAGAAAGGAATAATTCACACAAAAATGAAAATTTACCAGTAGATCCTCTGCAGTGAATGGGTGTCGTCAGAATGAGAGTCCAAACAGCTGATAAAAACATCACAATAATCTACACAACTTGAGGGGTCTGTGAACGTTTGTTAATCTAATGAATAATTGATTTGTTAAATCAAATGAGAAATGGTGTGTCTGATTGGTCCAGACGCTACAAGTACTTGTAGATTATTGTGATGTTTTTATCAGCTGTTTGGACTCTCATTCTGACAGCACCCATTCACTGCAGTGGATCCATTGCTGAGACACTGATGCAATGCTACATTTCTCCAAGCCTGATGAAGAACAAACTCATCCTAATCTTGGATGGCCCGAGGGTGAGCACACTTTCAGCACATTTTCATTGTTGGGTGAACTAATGCTTTAAAATATAGGTTGTCTCTTCAAATGCATGGAATCTGTCCATTAGACAAATATTTCTTTATAGTGGAAAAAGTTTCTTTAGATTATTAAAATGTTCTTCACACTATAAAAGCTGGCTCTTTTAAGAAGTGTTCACTGAAAGGTTCTTTTTGGAACCAAAAATGGTTCTTATTTGACATCACTGTGGAAAAACCCCTTTAGAACCTTTATTAAGAGTGTAAGCAAATGTCCGCAGGTGTAAATATCTGATCAATCATGTGACTGGAGCATTATTTTGTTTAGAAGGGTGCGTTTTTGTGCATTAGATGCTCTGTTTGCTCATCATTATCTAATAAATAACTATGCTACACACCGCTAGTTTGACGCTGGCCACCCCCAGCATTATGATGCATATTACTGGTATTACCGCAGCGGATGAATTGACCACACCCTGTAATCCACAGCATTTGATCTCACTCGCTCTCATCGCATGAGTCTGTGGTTTCTGTCTTTGAGGGGGTGACATTCCTCATCAATCATTTTCTCCAGAGATGCGACAGTCAGCGCTGTGCTGCTGTTTCTGCAGGTGATGAATAATCCAACGCGTGTGTCTCGCAGCCTTTGTGAAGGTGAGACTGTTTTTCACTCTCTAAAGACCAATGAAATCTGCTTGTTCTTACGAACACCTGCTCCAGGTCAGCTAGAGCCTCCTCTTTCTCTAAAAACAACAGACTACAATGTGTATTCGAGTGTTTCTTTAATGGGGACTTTTATGTCCTTGGGCTTGATTGAACAGATTTAAATTATTTATTTATTTATTTGCTGTTATTAATTAATTAATACATTTATTTATTTTATGAAGGTCATAAAAAGTGTATTAGAAACGTTTTACTATCATTTTATTTTGTCTGCTTTTCAAAAGCCTTGTGTACATTTAATAGATTTACCCTCGTCTCACACCCTCACTTTGTATCTTAAAATAGAAAAAAAAATAAAAATAAAAAAATTCAAAATCAATAAAACTTGTTTAAAAAGAGGTAAAAAGATGGATATATTTACTAATAATCAATTAATAATCTAAATTCAGCGTTTGAATTATACCAAAGCTTCAAAGGGGCCCGATATTTGGAAGAAATTGTTTTAAATAGTGCTATAAATAGTAAATGTATTTATTGATTTGATATTTTATTTTACATTCTCATTTGACTGAATTTACTTAGTAAGTTATAGATTTACTTAGTAAATCTGTATTAAAATCCATAGTAAAATCAGCACGTTAAAGTACATACGGGTGCCAAATGTGAGTAAATTTGGGTTTAGTGAGTAAGTAAAACCATCTCTCCAGTTAGTTGAAACTTGATTGCTAAATGTAACATAATGCATGGTTTATATATATTTCAATATTTATTGTCTAAAAATTATATAAACGCAGTGTTGGATTTACCAAAGCTCCAGAGGGCCCCGATTTCTGGATGAAAGTAGGTTTTAAATAACACTATAAACAGTCAATATTTTATTGTATTTCATTTTTACTGTGATGGAAAATAATCCCATTAGACCGAATTTACTTAGTATGTTTATCTGTATTAAAATCTGTAATAAAATTTGCACGGAGGTGCCAAATGTGAGTAAAATTGGCTTTAGTAGGTAAATAAAGCTAGCTTTCCAGTTAGTTGTACCTTTATTGGTAACTGTAACATAACACATGTTTTATAAAAAACTGTAAGAATGGCTGATGAATCATCATCAGTTATGAACATTACTGAAGCAAATGCCATCAGAGATTCAAATCAGATACAGAAAGTCTACTGAGAAAAAAATATATATCTGTTGCGAAATAACTTTTTTGAAACTGTCATGACAGGATCAGCAGGCCAACAAATAAAGATAGCATTCTTTCACAACAACTGACATTAGATGCATAGCAAAGTAGGCAGAATCATGGCTTTACAAACCGGTTCATGGGCTGTTCTCCCAAAATATAGTGAGTGTGTGTGTGTGTGTGTACCTTCTGTCTCCTCCGTAGAGTAAAGTTCTTCCACAGTAACAATCTGAGTTGTGTCAGGAGACTCATTATCACCAGTTGACACGTTGCTATATGGGAATATGAAGTCTTTTACGCCTGTAGAGAAAGAAAAGAAAGGAAATGTATTATCGACAGACAGCTAATTAACTAAACACAAAACCAATCTTGGTCTTTGGTGCACATAAACTTGGATCCAATGGAGTAAAACTAGTATTGCAACATTCTTTTTTTTTTTGTATTGCAAGTGAAATTGTATCGGCTGCAGGTAGTTTGTCAGGAAGAATAATGTCTAACAACCACCAACAGTCATCCTGATGGGAAAAGCATAATCACATCACGCCGTTTGAGTGGGCGTGCGATCAATAAGTGGAGTTTCTCATTACACTGAGCCACTCTAGTATTAGATTCACATTTACATTGTTGAATTCAGACACGTCCGGTAGCAGCTATCAGACCACGTGGTCCGATTTCCATTAGCAGCCACAAACAAATGAAGTGCAATGCAACATTTTTTGTTTTCTCTGTGAGTCTTGATAAAGACATCCAACTCCATCCTCATGGCCACATTAAATTAGTTTTGTGGCTTTCAGTCCATGTCTGTTAGCATTTGTTAGATAGCATTCTCCTAAATGTTGACTAAATAAACCTTCAGCAGATACAGTACACATTTATAATGTTCAGTATTTCTCTTCTGAGAAAAAAGACCATTGACGTCAATAGAAATGTTATTTTCAGTAACTACAATGATATGCAATTTCAATCCAAATAAAGTGGACTAAAATTAATGAATGTGACATGACTGTCGAAATGACTTTTTTAGTCTAAAGACTAAAACTGTGGCGAAAACAAAACAATGTGTAAAAATGACTCAATTTAGTTATTTAGGAAATCTTCCGGGGTTTGTGTTCAGGCACTGACTCTCACCCTTCCCAAACGACAATCAGTTACACATTCACACTCCACTGTCTCCAAATCTTCACACCACAAAGAGTCGTGTTCCTCAGTCACCCTAACAAGCCTTCACTGCTTCACACTGGAAAGAGTCATTAAAAGCGACAGAGAAGTGGTTACCTGCCTCCTAATGCTCTGAAGAGCTCTTTACAGAACAGATGGGTGTGTGTTTGGGTGTGTGTACCAGGGGACTGGAGTGTCTTTAGCAAAGCAGAAGAATAAACCCGACTCTAAGGGAGTTTTAATTAGGACTAGTGGGAAAGGTGGGTGCCAAGGTCACCTACGCTTCTCTGGAACTGAGCTCACAGTCATCCTCAAACATACACTTTTCCAGGAAGACTTGATAACTCTCTCTTCGAGATAACAGAAAGTTCAGCAGAGTTCATGACTCTAGATAGGAGGAGCTTTAGCACATTATAAACCGCACATTACATACTAACTTACACCTGAACTTTCGTCTAGTCTTGCTTATCCGATCTTCCTGGTCTGGTCTTAATGGTCTGATCTCACTGGTCTAAACTCTCAGGTCTAAAACCTTATGATCCAACTGAAGATCTGATCCTATTGCCGTGGTCTTGTTAGTCTGGTCCCAGCGCTGTGGTCTTACTGGTCTGATCTCACTGACCTGATCTCAAAGATCTGATCCTACTGACGTGGTCTTGTTAGTCTGATCTCACCGCTGTGGTCTTACTGGTCTGATCTCACTGACCTGATCTCAAAGATCTGATCCTACTGCCGTGGTCTTGTTAGTCTGGTCCCAGCGCTGTCGTCTTTCTGGTCTGATCTCACTGACCTGATCCCAAAGATCTGATCCAACTGCCGTGGTCTTGTTAGTCTGGTCCCAGTGCTGTGGTCTTAATGGTCTGATCTCACTGACCTGATCTCAAAGATCTGATCCTACTGACGTGGTCTTGTTAGTCTGATCTCACCGCTGTGGTCTTACTGGTCTGATCTCACTGACCTGATCTCAAAGATCTGATCCTACTGCCGTGGTCTTGTTAGTCTGATCTCACCGCTGTGGTCTTACTGGTCTGATCTCACTGACCTGATCTCAAAGATCTGATCCCACTGCTGTGGTCTTGTTAGTCTGATCTCACCGATGTGGTCTTAATGGTCTGATCTCACTGACCTGATCTCAAAGATCAGATCCCACTGCTGTGGTCTTACTGGTCTGATCTCACTGCTGTGTTCTTACTGGTCTGATCTCGCTGACCTGATCCCACTGCTGTTTTACTGATTTACTGATCTCATTCCTGTGGTTTCAAAGGTCTGATATCACGTTGTGGTCTTATTAGTCTGATCTTAGAGCTGTGGTCAAAATGGTTTGATCTCACTACTCTGGTCTTTCTGAATTGATCTCACCACTGTAATCACATTTATATTATTATATCATAAATCACTGCTTTGGTGTGAATGGTCTAATCTTACTTTATCTGGGGCCGGTTGCATAAAAGGTTTAGTCTTAAAAGTTAGTCAGCTATTTTTTTCTTTAAGGCAGGTCATATTTTTTTTTTTTTTCTTTAAAAAAAAAGTAGATTTAAAACTGATTGAACAGTGTCTTACCTCAGCTTTCTGTCCTCCACTGAAACTGATCCCATCTGTCAAGCAGGACCTGAACTCAGCGATGGTGTAATACTCAGCTTCAACATTAGGGGGATCTGGGGGCTGCGGTAACTGAAATCCCTGAGAGCGAAGAGAAGAATATGCTGTTCATCTTAACATAGAGGCTAAGTTTATGCAACTGGGCCCTGGTCTTACTGGTCTGATCTAAATGGTCTTGTTGGTTTGATCTCATTATTGTGGTCTTACTGGTCTGGTCTTAACAGCCCGATCTCAGTGGTCTGATCTCACTGATCTGATGTAAGTGGTCTGACCTCACCAATCTGACCACAGTGGTCCAATCTCTCTGATTTGATATCAATGGTCTGATCTCACCACTGTGATCTCTACTGGTCTGATCTCACTGGTCTGATCTCACCACTGTGGTCTTGTTGGTCTGATCTCACCACTGTGGTCTTACTGGTGTGCTCTCACTGATCTGATCCTTGTTTTACTGATTTACTTGTTTACTGATCTCATTCCTGTGGTCTCAAAGGTCTGATATCACTGCTGTGATCTTATTAGTTCGATCTCATAGCTGTAGTCAAAATTGTTTGATCTCACTACTCTGGTCGTACTGGATTGATCTCACCACAATAATCACATTTATCTTATTTCATAGATCACTGCTTTGGTGTGAATGGTCTTATTTTAATTTTGTGATCTGATCTTTCTTGTCTGATCTCACCATGGTGGTCTTGCTAGTTTGATCTCAACATTGTGGTCTTACTGGTCTTGTTTGACTAGTTTGATGGCCTTACTGATCTTAATCCTGTGGTCTTAATGGGATGATCTTAACAGCCAAATCTCAGTGGTCTGATCTCTCCAATCTGATATCAATGGTCTTATCTCACTGCTGTGGTCTTACTGTTCTGATCTCACTGATCTGATCTCACCGCTGTGTTCTTATTAGTCTAATCTAATAGCTATGATCATAACAGCTGCTCTGGTCTTACTGGATTGATCTCACTGTTCACTCATCTGGGCTGTCTTTCCCAACAGCATTGCAAGTTTAAACAGATTGTATAAACCACTGGCACCAATGGTCTCAGCAATCTACTTAGGCTTACAGTGCTTTTCTTGCCAGTTTGACCTCACTGGTCTGGTTTGAACTTACAGATTTGACCTTACTGGTCTGATTTCCTAGACTGTATCTGCAGTTAAAATTGTCACATTGGCAAATATGTGTAATATATGTGGTAAATAGAAAAGTATAGACTATTGTTTAAATGTATTGTTTCTTAACATCTGTCAGAGTGGTTTCTTGTTTGAATGAGACAATGTTAAATGACAGAGGTTGTTTATTGTGGGCAGGTTAATAGAAGTTATGTGAGATCTGTCTGCCCTTACGGGATACATCTACGTTAATTAGCTATTTGTCTTTTCCAAAGTGACTTACAGTACAATTATTATGGGGACAGTCCCACTGGAGCAACCCGAGGTTAAATGCCTGGATTAAGGACACAATGGCGGCAGGGGAACTCAGTTACTCTGTAGGTCATGAAACGTCCCTTTTAGGATCTGAACCCACAACCTTTTGGGTTACTAGCCCAGATCTTTAACCATCAAACAGATAATTTACTCTCCGTCTTCAAAGGTCATACTCCTTCTGGTAGGGTACATATTCACTTGTCAGAACAATTACTCCTCTTCTTGTGACACGCTGTCCTTTGGCGAAGGACATTTCCATCTCTAGAGTGCGTCTCCTGTTAAGGGAATATGTATGTATTTTTCTTTTCATCATTTTCTCAGTGAAAAATAAATAAATTCAGGGGACACGCTGGGATTTAAAGTGCTCAGATGGGAAATAGTTTAATGTTTAATTTCACTCTAACAAGACCACAAATTTGTTTATTGAAACTCCAGGCTGCCCGGATGAACAAGTGCACAATGTCTCTCCAGATTCAATTTTTAAATGATTCTGAACATATTGAAGAAAAAAGGCAACTTCTGTGAACACAAGCTATATTTTGTCATTCTAGAATATGGATTGCCTACTAAAGTGATGGCACCCATTTTACTCTTTGTGACCCAGAAACAGGTTACAGTCTTTCTATGGCCCTGGCTCTGTCTTTCTCTAGTAATTGTCTCTAGTTACAGTAAATATTTCATCAGGCATCAGCCAGAACATCGTGCAGGAAAAATGACCAACACAGGAACCTTGTATGAAATATGCAGGGAGTAATTTCCTATTTATGAATCACTGTCTGTCATTGCTTTTCCATTCCATCTCAACTGCAGCATTTATTTCTGTGGGAAATGAGGCTTCACACACACACACACACACACACACACACACACACACACA